ACAATCCATATCTCCACGTGGGCCACATCCAGTCGGTGCCCCATATCATCATGGATCATGCGTGATCAATACAATTTTCCTCAAATGATGACATTCAACTTATCATCTCTCAACTAGTAAGATCACGTATTCTGTCGATATTTGCATCATCTCTATTGTGCCAATGTTACGTTACCATGAAGGCTCCAACACCCCGAGACTTCATATTCCATATTTAGGAATAGTTGGGACCCACACTAGTTTGACAAACGTTGGGAGAATCTTCTCGTACATCTATATACCGAGTTTGAGACTCGTACGTATGTTGGAAATTGTAGTTCAATCTCTAAGGTTAACATTGTGGATTACTTCAATCCCGTATAAACAAAAACCTTGAGGAAATGGAAAAAACTTTGTTGCTCACTGTAGAAATTCATCATGTAGAAAGATACCACAGGAAAGCATGAGGAAATGAATTTGGTTGAGTGGGAGAATTGAAGGCAAGCTACCACAAATGACAGTATAGTGGATTAGGCCTAGGATATGATGCAGAGGTAAAGCTACACAATACAAGATTCATTCAATTTTGAGCTCAAGCTTTCCACTACTTAAATGTGTAGAACATATGAATTTCATTTCTAAGAAATACACCCAAACTCTGCATAAAATTGTGTTTCCTGAAAAAATAGATAAGATTATATACCTCATGAATTATAAAGAATGTTCTTTACTTTTTTGCATGATGCCCAAGTAGCAGCTCAATGATAAGTGTAATTTTTTTACACTTATTCGAGACCTAAAATAACGACATTTGATAGTTTTTTAGACAAAATATATCCTAAATTATTGCATTTTATGTATAATAGGTGAAATTTTTTGACTGAAAAAGGAATTGAAGGAATGAAGCAAAAAGTGGCAAAAAATTACAAAATTCAAAGTACAAGGACTAACTTGTATTACGTGAAAGAGTTGAGGATTTGGAAAGAAAACATTAATTAATTGGGCCTCAATTTTGGATGGACTTTTGTTGGATTAAAAAATTAGGTTTTATATATTTTACAAATATATACACACACGGAGGAAAAAGGGTGACACGCAGTTGAGGAGAAAAATAGATACACGCAGACAGAGTTGGAAAAAGAGCAGGAGAATTGGGCATTTGGATGAAAAGGATAAGGAAAAGTGGCTTTGTATATTAA